GATGCTTTTAAGAGCTTTTTTATATTGGAGGTTACAACTAGTTATACATGCATTTTTGATATTTAATTTAAATAGTTTGCCTATATATTACTATACAGGTTTTATACTAGATGCCATATCTGCAAGCCAACTATAATTCTTGTTTATTTAAACTCTCTGCATATGCAATTCTTTTGTATTACAGAAACATCCTTAGAGTACTATTTATTTAAGTTTTTGATGCTTATTAGTACTCTTAAAACTACTTTATTCTTAACAGAAGACTTATTAGAGCCTGTCATGTCCTATATACAGCTGATCTAGTTTTATACAATATGCTATAGTTACCTAATACTTTCAGTTACAGAGTTATCTGTTTAACTATTATATTATATTATTTCTATTATTATAAAGTTACTAAAATCTCAGTATCTATCTTTTTGAACTTTTTTATTTTATCTCTTACTAACTACTACTTAGAACTAACAAATTTTGGCCAGACTACCAATTCAGATAGCCTAGTATAGTATATTTCTATATTCTTTTCCTTTAGCAAATTTGATGGCCTGATTGGTTATATGCTTCTCTATATATATTTTGCATTTAATTTATCTAATCTATTTTTTTAAAAGTGGTTTATGAGCTTTAACCAGTTTAATAATATTATTAAAATTTTATACTATTTCTTTACTTAAAAATTTTTAAGTGAATTTTTGACTTCTTGGTTTTTTAGTTTTTAATACTCAGTAGTCTTATTGTAGATTTGCACTAAAGTTTTATATAATATTGGTATTACAAAGTAGATTATTAGCATAGCATAGTATATTATATTATTAGTAGTTATTATATATTTATTATTGTATTTTATATTATATTTATTATTAGTTATTAGTATAGTTATTTTATAGCATATAGTAGTTAGATAATAGGATCTTAATTAGCTGTTAGAAGTATGATACAGATACATAACATTGAGTAACATCTATGATGTCACTATTGTCTTACAAATCCCAAGTACCTCTACACAAGTTTTATGTATCCTATTATAATTTACTATGCCAAATACCATAGTACAAGAATCCCAAGTATCCTTAACACAATCCTCAAGTATCTCTGCACAATCTTAAGTATTTTCAACACAATCTTCAAGTGTCTTTGCATAATCTCAACTGTCCCTGCACAGACTCAAGTACCTTGATACAAGCTTTAAATGTTTCAAATACAAATAACAAATACACATAAACATTGTCCCAACTATCTCTGTACAAATTCTACTTGTCTCTGCACAATCTTTACTACTTCAAGTATAGTATCAAAAGATTTCACTTAAACTCCCACTACTTCCACTAGGTAAAATGATATATAAAGGGTACCTTTTCTCCTTTTCTGCCAATTCTAAGTTTCTATACTTCAACCCAAACATAATAACCTTTTAATTATAAAGTATGATATTCCTTCTCTAGGATAATTTCTACAGACAAGGTTGTCACCATGTGTGTTATTAATAAAAAGTTAATCTATATACTGTTACTATCTTAAATCATTTGCCTGCTGCTGTATAGTAAAATGAACTACTACACTTTTACCCTATATATATTTGCAATAGTCAATCACTGTACCAAGTAATCTTGTTATTTGGTTGTATTGTACCAAGAAGGCTGCAACTCTGTAACACTGATTAAAACATTTTTCTATATATATGTAATATTATATTTATATAAATGCTTTAAGCTCTTAATAACAAATAAAATCTAACTTGATGTACTTAGATTATAGCTATATGAGGCCAACTAATTAACAGAAAACAATTATTGTAATACAAATTAATTTCCAAAGTTTATTGTAAATAGAATTTGTACATTAGACTTGTCACTTAAAAGATAACAACTCAATTACTACATTAGAATTGCTATTTTTTTTATTTTTTTTTTATATATATTTATATCAAATAATTATCATAGTTATTAAAAAAAACATAATATAATTATTATTATTAGGAATATAGTAATTTAGTAAAGTGGATAAGTTGTTAATTTTTTATGTGATAGTTTGGATATTTAAATCCTATTAACAATGAAAATTTGAATAATTATTTATATAATATTCATATTTTAAAAACTTGTTTTTAATGATTAGATTAAAATACTTGCAATAATAATTACATTAGCATGACTGATAAGCTATAAGTTATTTGTATAACTGGTTATACAAAGAAATACAAACTGGTTATCCTCCAAATGGCAGGTCTAAGGTTCAAATTCCACTATGATGAAATTTGAAAATTAATTTATATTATAGAAACTGTTTCCTGTTGATTAGTTGGCCTTATATGGCTGTAATCTAGGTATACCAAGTCAGGTTCTACTTATCATTAAGAGCTTAAAGCATTTATGCAAAGTGTAATATTATATGTACATAGAGGAATGTTAATAACCGATGTTGTATAAGACTTCAGTGCAAACCCATAATAAGACTGTCAAACACAGAAGACTAAGGAACTGAAAAGATAGAATTCTACTTGAAAATTCCTGAGTAAAGAGGTAGTACAAACTTTTAACAATGCTGTTGGACTAATAGAAGCCCACAAAACATCTTCATAAGAACAGGCAGATGAACTGGATAACAAGATGTGTAGAGAAGTATATGACCAACTAGACTGTTAGAATCATCAGAGAAAAAGAATACTAAGATATACCATATCAGGCCATCTGGATTGGAAATCTAAAGAGTCTATTAGTTTTGAGTTGTGGTTAGTAGAAGATAATGAAGAAAATGTTAAAAAGATAGGTACCAGAGTTTGGGTGAACTTTACAAGAATAGAAATAATGTAATTTAGCAGTTTAAGGTTAGTCCTAACTGCAAGTATTAGATAACTATAACATATTATATAAAACTAAGTTAGCTATGTATAGAATATGAAAGGCTCTAGTAATGATACTTCTGAGGATACACTGCATGAAATAAGATATGGGGTTCTAAGAATATAAATAAGCATCTAGATCTTCTCAACTGACTTATATAACAAAGATGATCTAATAATACAGTAAGGATTGCAGTACAAAGAGTTTAAATAAACAACACCTCTAGTTGGGTTGCAGGTATGGTAGCTAGTATAGAACCATTAGAAAACTACTTAATTAGATACCAAAAGTGTACATATGACTAGTTGTATTCTCTAATATAAGGAGACTCCTTTGAGGTCTTGGCTATAAGTCTTTATGTTCTAACTATATTGAATAAAAAGCTCTAGCTTCAAAAGAAGCTAGTTTAAATTAAAAAAAAAAAAAAAAATACAAACTGGCATTAGGTGATGCAAATTCTAGATAAGTTCTTGTAGCTGTATAAATTTATAGAAATTAAAAAACATAAAGTTTATTTAGAAAGTTCTAAATATAAAAGTAGTACAAATCTTTAACAGTACTACTGTAAAAACTAGACTACTAGATATGAATATCAATGTCGAAGTATCCAGACAGATAAGAACCTCTAAGTTGAAAGTCTTAAAGGTATTACTAACTAGACTACTAAAATGAACTAAAGGAAAAGAATATTAAACTAATTTAATATACTAATGAACTAATTATACTTCTATACAGACTATCTGAATTAGAAGTTTAGAAAACAGACAAAAGTATATTAAAGTGCTAGAGATATGCTATGAAGTAAATGCTAGGGTCCAAGTGAACTCTATAAAAACATAGCAGTTAAAGATAAAACTTTGATTGTAAGTATTAGTTCTGCTATAGTAATATTTAGATCAGTTGTAAAAATATGTACAAAAGGCTTTAAAAGGTTTATCTTAAGAATAAAATAGTCCTAAAGTTAAAAAAATAATCTGGAAATAATCTAGTAATATTAATACAGATGCAGGTTTAGAGGATTTAAAATAGAACATTCAAGCAGAAGTATTAGATATAGCAATTAGTAGAAAACCTTTAGGTGGACTTTTTAAATAGATAATATAAAAAAGTTACATATGTAGCCAATTGTATACTCTTTTTGTAATGGTTTACAGAATTACATTATCAAAAAAGTTATTAATAAAAAACAAAAGACCAAAGAGATCATTTTAAAAAAAATAAAAAATAAAAAAAATTACTATTATTATTATATAAAAACAGAATTTTAGAATAAAGATACCAAACTATAATTAATAGATAAATATACTAAACTACAATTATTAAGTAAAAACACTAAACTACAATTATTAGATAAAGATATTAGACTACAATTATTAGATAAAGACATCAAACTACAATTATTAGATAAAAATATAAAATTACAATTATTGAACAAAGTTACTAAACTACAATTATTAGACAATATTATTGTTAAATATTGATATCAGTTTACTATTTAATATATTTTTTTTTATATATAATTGTTATAGTTATTTCTTTTAATACTATATCTATAAGATAAGCCTTTTTATTTTTTAGTATTAAGGTGACCTCTTTGGTCTTTTGACTTTTATTAATGACTTTTTTAGTAATATAATTCTATAAACCACTATAGGAAAATTGTACAATTGGTATACATGTAACTTTTTTATATTACTTATTTAAGAAATTCACTTAAAGATTTTTCACCAATTACTGTACCAAACACTTTTACTTGAATGTTCTATTTTAAACTCTCTAAACCTGCATTTGTATTAGCATTACTAAGTTATGCTCAAATTATTAACTTGAGTTTAAAACTATTTTATTCTCAAGGTAAATCTTTCAAAGCCTTTTGTATTCATTTTTACAACTAACTTAGTATTGCTATAGCAAAATTAATACTTGCAATCAAAGTTTTATTTTTAACTGCTATGTTCTTGTAAAGTTTACACAAATTTTAGCATTTATTTCACAGTATATTCCTAGTATTTTAGTATACCTTTGCTTGTTTTTCAGACTTTTAAACCAAATAGCCTATATAGTAGAGATTAGGCCTGGTTTAAAATTTAATTCTAGGTAACCCATTCACTTATTAAACTCTTACTCGGGTAACTACCTAGTTAATCTCAAATAATCTGACTAACCTGGTTAACCCAGTTAACCCGATTATGATTATATAAGAACAGATGTTTCACATGATTATAGATAATCTTTAAATCAAAATTGGTTTAAAACATTAATTCACAGATTCAAATTCGTTTAACGTTAATAAATTCAAATGCATTTTATTTATAAAATATTAAATACATGTTTGAAAATATAGTCTATACTTAAAAGTTAAGATAATATAAATATATTTAATACAATATAGAAATGTTTTAATTTTTTTATGTAACAATAATTAACTTGCTATTTCTTTTTAGAAACAACATTTGAGAAACAAGATCTGGACTAAGACAGATTCGTTTTTGAGTTACTTGGTTGCCTGCATCAGAGAATAAATGTTCACTAGACACTGAAGTAGCTGGTATAGATAAGTATTTTTTTGCCAATTTGCTCAATTTTGGAAAGTCTTTTTTATAATCTTTTCACCATTCTAATAGTTGAATTGTTTTGGGAGCAATTGGCATTTTGTTGACATCCAAATATTTATCTAATTCATTATTATTGTCTAATAGATTATTAATATTATCATTATCATCAAATATTGATGTAAAATAACGATTAGTTGAAGTTATACTTGAAGAAGTAGAAGAAGTAATTTGAATAGGTATCGTATCAGTAATATTTTCAAGTTCTTGATGGCATACTCTTATTGCTGTTTCTCGTAGATGACTAGATATAGGATGCATTCTTTTAAGTTTTGGGTCTAGCAAGGTAGCTAAAAGACAAGTATGTTTCAGATTACCCCAATATTTCCAGAGAGAATCACAAATGGCTTGCTTAATTTGAGCAATTTTTGTTGGAATATCATGAGGCTCTAGTACCTGAACTTCTTCACTATCACTACTACTGTCTATATTTATTATTTAAATAAGGTTATTAATAGGGTATTCCAAACTATAATAAAACATATAAATCGCTTCAGTTTAAAACTAGAGTGGTTTATATGTTTTATTATCATTTGAAATATTCCATTAACAACCCTAGCAAAAGGTAAATATTATATTTGAATGTAACTATAATTTTATAAGAAAAAATTCAAATAATTAAGTTAAAAATTTATCATATCCTTTATTAGAGTCTTCCTCTTTCTCAACTAAAGTTAAATTTGGATCTGCAATGAATTCAGATTTTAATACTTTGATAATAAGATACACTACTGACAATGTAGGATACTTTTCAGCAAAGAATGCTTCAGTTGCTTGGTCAAATGGCTCAAAAATTTTAATTAATTCTTTAATCAATTTCTATTCAACTTTATTAGGTAAGCAGTATGCAAGATTTTGACCAACTTTTTTATCATCTGAATGTTGTGAAATTTTTAAATTGGCTTCTAACCAAATAATTGCATCTTTTAGTTTTAAAAGCCTTTCTCAAGACTGATAAGTAGAATTCTAATGAGTTGGATAATCTTTGATTAGACATAGTGTTTTGGAAGCAGTACTTATATTTAATTATTCTGAATCTGTACTGTTATCATTATTAATTTTATCAGCTTCTTCCTCCTCAGAATAAAATTCATTATCGATTAAATTTAATAAAGGTAAATTATCTCTTTCTATAACTATTTTTTGGGCTTTTTCTAATCTTTCTTGTTGCTTAGATGAATCAAAAAAATGAACCAATTTTTTAATTTTTTGTGTATATAAGCTATTTTTTTTAGAGAATAATTAACAGTTAACTGCAACGTATATGCAGCACACAGAAGCCAGATAATATTATTCTATAGCCAAATGGCTTTTATCATGTTGGCACCATTATCAGTAAAGATGCATATAATTTTATTTTTTAAATTAAATTCAAAGCACTTACTTTGAATAAATTGATGTATAGATTCCATGATATGTGGGTATGATATTTTTCCACAACACAGTAATATACTATGCAATGTTCAGTTAGGAGTTACCTAGTGATAAGTAACTTTAATATATTCTTGGTTATTACACAATGTCCACAAATCAGCAGTTATTAAAGCAGTTTCACAAGATAAATTAATCTCATGCTGAAGAATATTAATATTTTTTAAATAACTAAGAGAGATTTCATTTTTTACTACTCTATCAGAAGGAGGACAAAATTTTAGGTCAACTTTTGCCATCATGTGATGAAATTCTTTTTTTCTTAGTGCTGCTAATAGTAAGTTATCAAGAAGGATTCATTCAACAACTGCTTTATTTAGTTCCTTACACCTATTACCTTTGTATGGAGTATTGGATCAGATGATTTCAGTTATCATAGTTTGTCGACTTTGTTGGATTTTAAATGTTAGCTTTTTATTGTCTACAATTTTATGCAATGTTCATAGGTGTGAAATCATATTTGATATTGAATTATCATAAATATAATCAGTTCCACATATTTGGTTTTTCCTTTTTTTCTTTACATTAACATGACACGCATCTTTTTCATCAATTACTTTGAAATATTTCTACACAAAACTTGATTTACTTTTACCTTTTTTACTTTTTTTAATATGGGTTAATGTGTTTGTAATAGAGAGTATATTATTATTATTATTTTTACTATCACTTTTATTAGTGTATGCATTGCTTTGAAAACTTGAACTGGATTCTTTTTGAGATTTCATAATATTGAAAGAATAATATTTTTTTATAAAGGCAGGATGATGAATTTATTAAATATGACAATTTTTGGGTGTAAAATTAAATAAATTGAATTTAAATTTAATTTTATAGAACTGAATTCCAAAGATTTATTTAAAGTCAAAAAACAGTGTTTAAATACATTTACAATTTTCTAAATATTACTTTTTTAAAAAAAAATTTATTACAACCATTTTGTTATTATTACATCATTTTCTAAATTTTTTAAAATTACAATTTTAATTATATTATTACTATATGTTTCTCACAATAATTCAACTAACTTTGAATGCATAATCCAATAATTAAATTTACTTTTTTCTATAACTAATTATTTATTTCTGTTATAATTTCTTACATTATTTCGCATTTCTCCAAATATTGTCTTATGCATTTATATTTCTTGTAAAATAGGATCTGAAACCCAAACCTTCCTAATCCTTTTAGGCTTAGGCTATATTTTGAATATAAACTAAAACTGAAAGCAAAATTCCAAATTAAATTAAAATCTCAAACCGAAACTAAACTCCCAAAACAATGCTAAATTCCAAATACTAAAATTACAAATTATTGCACTTTGCAAAAAAGATGTAGCCTTTGCAATTACAATATTGTATGAGAATCGAAGATTTTATAGATTTTAAATAATTTTAAGAATTTTACTAATTTCAAAGAAATATAAACATAACTAATCAAAAATATAAAGTAATAAACAATATAGAATCCTCTGATTATCATCACAAAAATTATGTGGCTACATCTTTTTGCAAGCCACAATAATAACAAAATCTTAATATCAAAGATCCAAATTATAAAAGCACATATATGCTAGCTTATATAATATATTCAAATTGGTTTAGAATTTTAATATTTTGGGATTTCAGAATTTCAGAACTGGTTTAGGATTTTGTAACTTTTAGTATAACCTGAAACCTTTCGTTCTGATATAAATTTTATAATCTATTTTTTCTTTAACCTGTTATCAATTTATAAATTGTCACATTTACTGTAAATGTGACAATTTATAAATTGATAATGGGTTAAAGAAAAAATAGATTATAAAATTTATATCAGAATGAAAGGTTTCAGATTATACTAAAAGTTACAAAACCCTAAATCAGTTCTGAAATCCTGAAATCCCAAAATATTAAAATCCCAAACCAATTTGAATATATTAGTATTCTGATCTAGGTCAGATAATAGTGACCTGACAGGTTAGACATTTAGCCCAGGTCATGAGAGGGAAAGAGAAAAAGAGAAAAAGAGAAAAAGAGAAAAATAAAAGGAAAAAAAAAAAAGGAGAAAGAAAGAAAGGAAGGAAGAGATAAAAATAGTGTAAAACAGCTTTTTTTTTTCTTTTTTTTCTTAAGCTAATTTTTTTTAATTTGCATTTTTTTTTTTTTTTTTTTAGGGATGACCCAGGTTAAAAAATTTCTGACTTAGGCCAGAACACTACATTTACATTTCAATGCATAATATAAAATAAAGATCTAAGACCTGTCTAAATTAGTCAAATATTTTAATTCATAGCATTATCATTGCCAAATATAATTTTAACAGAAATTAATATGGCTAAGCAATATTAGCGGTATATTAGGAAATTCATTTAATAATATTGTTTTATTATTCTCACATGATGTATATTTATTTTCTATTCAGGTTATCCAGGTAGCATAACCATAACCCGGTTAAGGAATACTTATGCAGGTTACCTGGGTAAGCCTTATCTGGGCTTAATCTCTAGTTTGCATTCCTTTATGTAACCAGTTATACAGATGCTTTATAATCTGCCAGTCATGCTGATATAATCATTATTACAGATATCTTAATTTAATTATTAAAAACAGTTGCTGTAATACAAGTATTACATAGATAATTATTTAAATTTTTATCATTGATAAGATTTAAACATCTAATCTATCACTTGAGAAGTTAACAACTTATTTATTTTACTAAGTTATCATATTCCTCTTTATTTTTTGTTCTTGTTATATGCATTTACAATAAATATTATTTTTTTTTATATATATTTATAATCATTATTATTTTTTTATTTTTATTTTTATTTTTTTTTTATGTTAATATTTCTTATATTTAAGTTGCAACTGTTTTATTCAAGTTATAAAACACAGATGCCACTAAAGATTCCTTTATATAGAAGATTACAACTAGCTACATATATACTTTTGATGTTTAATTTAAGTAGTTCACTTATATATTGCTATATAAGTTTTATATTAGATGTCATACTTGCAAGCAACTAGAGGTCTTGTATTACAAAAACATCTTAAGACTACATCTATTCAAGTTTTTAATGCTCATCAGTACCTTAGAACTACTTTATTTTTGACAGAAGACTTACTAAAACCTTTATGCCTTATACATACTAATCTAGTTTTATACAACATGTTATAATTACCTAACACTTGCAATTACAGGAGTAATCTGTTTAACTGCTATGTTATATTGTTCTTATTCTTGTAAACTTCACCCAAACTCTAATATCTATTTTTCTGACTTCTTCTTTTTATTCTTTTACTATCCAACTCAGAATTTAACAGACTCTTCAAATTTCTAATTTAGATGGTTCAGTATGATATATCTTTAGTATTCTTTTCTTTTAGTAGTTTTGGCAACTAGTTGGTTATATGCTTCTCTATATATCTTGTCATCTGGTTGCATATTTGCCTATTTTTTATTGGAATTTTGTAAGCTTCATTAGTTTAACAACACTATTAAAAGTTTGTACTATCTCTTTACTCAGAAATTTTCAAATGAAATTCAGTCTCTTCAGTCTCTTAGTTTTTTGTGCCTAGTGGTTTTATCATAAGTTTGCACTGAAGTCTTATGCAACACTGATTATTAATATTTCTCTATGTATATATAATATTATACTTCACATAGATGCCTAAGCTACTATATAACAGATAAAACTCAACTTGGTACATCTAAGATTACAGATCATGTCTAAATCTAACTGATTAACAAAAAACAATTTGCTATATTACAGATTAATTTTTAAATTTCATTGTAATTAGGATTTAAATCTTAAATCTACTACTAAAAGAATGACAACCTAATCATTACACTAGGATCATCATTTTCTGTTTTTTCTTTTTTATATAAAACATATTATAACTACTATTATAATCATATAATAACTTTGAACTTCTAGATAAAAACACTAAGTCTTTGAATAAAAACACAAAGCTTTAAGATAAAAATACAAAGCTTGTGAGTTAAGATACAGAATAACTAATATTATTTTTAGTTGATAGAATTAACCAAATAATACTGTCAGATGATTGTTCTAGATTATTATTGTTATCAGACAAAAAATCTAAAATATTTTTTATTAAAAAATAAAAAAATAGATAAAAAAAATTTATAATAGATAAATAAACCATATTAATTTAATTAATTTTAATACTATCTATATTAAAGTGTAGCAACTTAGTGAAGTAAACAAGTTGTCACCTTTTTAAGTAGCAGGTTAAAAGTTCAAAATTTACTAATAGTAAAAATTTAGATTTTTATCTATATTATAACAACTGTTTATCATGATTAGATTAAAATATCTATAATAATAATTGCATTAGCATGATTAGCAGGTTATAAGGCATCTGTATAACTAATATACAGAGTAATGCAAACTGGCATCAAATGATGCAAACTCAAGATAAGTACTTGTGATTATAAAAATCTGTTAAAGTAAGAAAACAAGAAGCTTACTTGGAGAAACTTAAGCAAAGAAGTAACACAAATCTTCAATAATATTACTATAAAGGCTAAATCTAGAAAACAGATAACAATGTAAAGAAACCAGATAGGCAAGAACCTTTAAGTAAAGAATAACACCAATCAGACCATCAGAGTTTTAACTAAAAAGACTAAAGAAAAAGAATATCAGACTAATTTGATATACTAATAGACTGGTTTTAGTTTTATATATATTATCTGAATTGGAAATTAGAAGACAAAAACAAGTATATATTAAAGTTTTAAAGATATGTTATAAATAGTACTAAGGTTTAAATAAATTTTGCAAAAGTACAGTCTTATTAAAGTTTGTAAAGTAGATAGATAAATTAAAAAAAACCTCTTTGTGTCTTATTGCCAGATAATGAAGTTTGCTACAATCTGAATACTAGTACAAAAAAAAGATAAAGTTAAACTTAAATAGTTCTTAATAAAAGACAGCAATAGAGTTGTTTAGCCTTAAAGTAAAATAGTTAAAAGTATACAAGTACTAATTAGATAAACTAAAGAGTTTAAATAGAACATTTAAAAAAAATACCATCTATATTATTATTTAAATTTATTTTATAATTAATGTTAAAGATTCAATTGTATTTGGTATTTTTTTTTGTTAAAAATATTATTTTTATAAAGTTTATTTATTAAAATACAATTGTTATAAAGCTTATCTTTATATACTAATTTATAAGAAGTTTTTTTATAAAACTTATATTATAAATTGTTTATAGTAACTATT